CTAACATGGACCACGCTGCCCATACAAAACTCTCATGACTGACAAAACATGATATGACATGACATGACAAAACCCTCCCATACCAAGACTCTCAAAACCCCCATGATTGAGCGCTTACTCGCCGACGCAAGTTCGGCACCAGTTAACTTCGCCATACCGTTTTTGCATATCAGTTTCGCCCTGTAACGCCTGTCACGTGACTGCCTCCGCGCAGCCGCGGACACGGCCGTCGGTTTCATGCAGCGTCGGGCTTCTTCTGTATTGCTGGTTTTAATCTGTTCCATGCAAAGTTGGATTTATTTCAACCAGTTTTGTCAAGGGCCTCTTAATCAGAGTCGACCTCTTCCCATCCAACTCTATTCAGAGTTGGCTTCGGGAGTCAGAGTTGGCCGAGGACGCCGTGCTTCGCCATAGTGATGCCGGAAATGCGTTTTTCTATGCGCTTTTGAAGTGGGATGTGGTCATGTGGATGGACATGTAGACAGCGTAGGCTGGGACTTACGTGGACTGCCCTTGAATCCCCGTCTTGGCCACACGCTTAGCCACACGGTTGCTGTCCAAGTGCGCATTTTTCGCATTCCTTAGTCCAAAAAAATGTCATTTTCATTACGGCATGCCCTCCTGCGGCATGCATCATTTCAGGGCAATTCACCGTTTAGGCTCTTTCAAAGGCAGGTGGACTGGTAGTTTATTCAAGGCCCGGCTCCTATGATGGAGATCATTATTAGTGCATGCAAACTTTGTGACTTTAATGAAATGAACTCTTTCCCTGAGTAACACATGTGCAGGAATATTTGCGCACAGGTTATATATACGTTAATTACATTAGCAATCTATATGAAAACGCATGAATTTTTATAGCGATCTCTTACCACTGAAGAACATGGGCGTACAAACAACGCATGCGACTTTAATCCATGGATTTTTGCGCCCAGAAAATGTTTGTTACGATAGTTTCCCGACCATCATTTTGTCACACAAACCGTGTCTATGCACCTTTTTTGCTTGATAAGCCTTTTGCACGACGGGCACTTTAGCATACCTACGTTGTTCTGCTATACTTAGACGCACAAACTTCATCCCAAGAAACTTTATGAAGCGATCTTCGCAACAACCACCAGCTGACACCTGAGGCAACACAGCAAGGTCAGTGTTTATCTCTGCTTGCGGACAAAAGCACGCATAGCAAAGACCAATGGCAACTGTTTACAGGTTACAAGCTTGCGTGCATATAAAGCCCATAATGATGCGCTATGTACGGTATCAGCTTTGTAATGTGAAAAGTTTCTCACGTAAAAACTTTGCTCGGTAAAATAATCGTCTGAAAAGGTTCAGTACAACTTAGCTCGAACTCATCTTCGTACGATGTTAATACGTTCTTTTTGCTTACATTTTGCTTGCGCCAACATCCCACTTAACCATTGGATATGCATCATCGCTTGACATGGCTATCACCAACTCTCCGAACAAAATCCAACTCACGGATGTCGCACCCAGACACTGCAGTAATCATCACTTAGCCACGCCTATCTTGAACGTGAGACGCAAAAGAATAGCAACAGAAAAAGCAAAACTATCGCCGAATGAACACTGATAGGCTCTTGCCGATATGCTATTTAGTCGTCGCTAACTGGAACGCTGTCCTGACGCCTTTTCCGCCTGATGAACAGTGGGATGCGTTCCTGACTATCGTGAAACTGCTGCTTGACAGGATTTCCCATAGTGGGCAGTCCAGATTCACACCATCCCGCTCTCCCTGTGTCAGACGGCGTTTAGGAACTCATGACATAGCGTTGTGCACGCCATCACCTCGGCGCGATGTACAGGCAACTGAATAGTTGGGATCATGCTGCCAGCATCAATCACCCTGCATGCTGGCAGCCGACGTGACTGCCGCGAGATGTCTTTGTGTCTTCGACGGCAGTCGAAGACACAAAGGGACGGCGAGGCCCGAATGCGAGCACCGCGTCATTTGTAGCATCGTCGGTGGCAAAGATCATCGCTATCAAAGCTTCCAGATAAGCTGAAAGACCAGTCCAAAATTTGAATTCGTCGCTGACATCAGGAGGAAGACGTCCAACAAAGTGTTGACAGCAACTCCGGTGGTTACACAGGATTGCCGCATTAGACGAGTATGCGACGATTTCTCTGCCCGTGACATGCCACTAGACATTAACTAACATGCGTCATGGCATCGACGAGCACCAGCTTTGCTTGTTGTCGCAATGGCAGGACGATTCATATTGCCAATGTCTGCCTATTCGCCCTCATGACAGCACATTATCAACAACCGTTTTCCTCTCTGAAAATGCCATAGAAATGGATCATCCCACTTGTGAGGCCTCTCCTTAGAGCTGACAGCGTTAGGCAACTACAAACCAATCTCGCTTATTCCCATCGTGCCTGTACTAAGATTACGAGAGGTTATGGTGCATTCTACACCACGCAATCCGACATCTCGAGACAGCACGGGGTTTGTGTAAGGTTTGTAGAAGGTAAGGCAATCCTGAACATTACAGATAGCACAGTGCGGTGCATTCCTTGCCACTCATTGCAGTACAAATGCATTTCCCTAGTCACATGAAGACTCTAAGCCGTTTCTCGCCATTGGCCAAACCCTAAATACGTCAAAACATCCAGTTTACCTGGCGTATTAGTGAACTATCGATGTTGGCTTACCCTGGCTGTTGTTTTAGCCGCGTTAGTTAAATATTCACTCGGCTTTCCGCTAGTCTTGCCACTAGGTCTGTTAGCGGAGCTGTTAAGCTCTTCATATTCGGGCCCATGACGATATCTATGAGATTTAACGCGCGCTTGGGTGGAGGTCAATTTGACCCTCCTCCGCAAATTTTTCCGGAGTGGTTTCCGAACGTCGAGGCGTAGCCACGGTAAATTTTGCATAGCTGTGGACGATTGAACAGCGGATCGTTCCGTGACAAAAATTTAGATGTATCTTGTGAAGTCGCTGACCTACGGCAGGTCAAAATCGGGCCGGGGGCTTAGCAAAGTCATTTCTAGGAAACCGTTCAATCTGATGCAACTGCGGAGTGTTAGACCAAACCATACAGTTTTGAAATACTTTCTTAAGCAACACAACAATTAAATGAACAAATTCCAACGACCGAGGGTCAGATATGAATGTCAGACCCAGGTCAAAACCCAACTTGTTTCATCACTCTGGGGTTGCTGTGTTGAGTAGTTTCTGGTGCTCAT